TTTTTTTTTTGCGCGCGCACCTGGGATTAGCGCACTGCGCAGCGCACTTCACCTATGCGCCACAAGTATGCTCTAGATTACCTGGGGCTGGTCATCTGTGTGTATGAACGAAGTTTGAAGGGGAAACAGCAGGCGGATTGAAGATTCCTCAGAGGACTTTCAAAATAGAGGGGAAGGGAGTGTGAGGATTCAGGACCTCGGCAATGCCTGGAAAAGGCCCAGCCAGCCCTAAGTGAAAGCGGGCCTGCAAAAGTGAGCCCCGGCCGGAGGACAGGCCTATGTGAGCACGATTGAGGCCCCAGGGTGGTTGCTGCACGCACAGCATCTCCAACTAACCGGTTGGGCCAACCTCCGGGTTAGTTGCTGATGCTGGTCTTGATACTGACATTGAGATACACCTCATTCATACAACGTCACACATGCACATCATGTATTGACACACCAAACCGCAAAGCAATGATAGAAAGAGTTATTTTCATTCATCAATATCCGGGAAAGCGGATCCCCGACCGGTTTCGATCGCCTCCCGACGATCGTCCTCAGGGGGTTTCTTCCTCCTACATACCCCACTAAACCTTCCCGCCACCAACCCGCCTCCGTTGCACGAACGGCATCCCGGAAATGCCGACTGCAACGTCGGTCCCGGAAAAGAGACAGAATGATAACTCGTCATTGCTTATGTGCTCCTCGGTTCCCTTTGCTCCCAGGTGCCCACAATCTGCCCCTGAAACGACAAAGCAACGACGGGCCCTTCACGAGGTTTAGGCGGGTCCTAACCCCGCTCGGGCCGAACAACAATTCGAAATTCACAACACACCAAAGTACGATACTCCTACCCCTACAAAGTATCAACTACGCGACAAAACACTCCACAGCAAAAGGCTGAGCCGGTAAGCCCCAGGTTGGTCAGCCCTTAGTGTAACAGCAGGACTACCAACCGGATACCGCATAGGTATGAAAAGCACAGCAAAAACAAAACCACACCCAAAAACAGTTCCAACCCATACTATGGTCCTATTTCGGATACCAGCCCTGTCCACTAATGCTCCGAACAAACGCACTAGTTCGGCACAGCCGCGGACTCAGTCATAAACTGGCAGACGTATGTCCACGGCTCTGGTCTTCCTCGAGCAAAACGTTTCAACACCCGTAAGAACAGGCGGTTCGGGAAATCCTTGATCCGGAGTTCCCGACGCAGGCAGTTCACTCTCCGAGGGATCTCCCATCGTGCAGAGGTGTTTCAGTCGATTCTGTGCAGGTGTCCGGCAATAACTGCACTTTTCTGTGACTTGCTGCCCCACGAGCGATAGGATTGCCCATTCTTGAATTCAAGAATCTCAGAAGTCCATAGTGTCTTCTCATTCTTCGTCAGTTGCACACTCAAAACTTGCTTCATCGTGGGATCAATCTTCACTTCACAACCGAGAAAGTCCCACTTGCCTGTCCCGTCATCCGTACGTTTGAGGGAGAGGTTAGAGGGATAACACTCTTCAAAACGTTGCCAGATTCCATCAACTTCCTGCTCAGTTGGTGTCTTACTGGCGATGATCAAGCTCACATCATCGACTAGACGGACACCGAACACCCTCTGCCTGTTTGTCCCTAAGCTACAGAGGAATTTGTGTTCAGCATGGGCACAGAGTATACAAGCAAGAGGTGGGCTTGTACTCTTGCCCATCGGAATACCGATTCGCTGCTGCAGCAGGACATTCAACGCAGAGGTATATGTGTGTTTCAGATCAATCCGGATGAAATTGAAGACGTCGTCAAACTCAAGTAGTCGCCAGTGGTCCTGTCCAGTCGTCAGTCCAAACGTTGACCCCCGTCCGCGTGTGTTCACACGCACGAACTGCCTCCCCTTCTCCTTGTGCCACTTGATAACCCAGTCAACTGCCTGTAAGATCTCGTCATGCGGTAACTGGCTAAACATGTCCTTGATGTCGTAGGACCGTGCAGTCAATACTACCCCGCTACCTTGCCGTGCACACTTCCTGTTGACAGCCTCAAGGCGGCTGGTTAGTGATGACAATGCTTTCAAATTAAAATGCAAGTCCTGTGGCAGTGTGAAAAGTAGGTGGTTCAGTCCCTTCGCTACCGCCTTACCCGTTCTCGCGGTTGGCTCAGAGAACGTCGGGCATATCAGTCTGTACCGATCGAGGTCCTTATGCTTCGGTAGAGCATAGGCCTTCCCTACGTGCCCTTTCCCATCCCACTTACCAAAGGCAAGCAGGCCTTCCTTCCTCAAACACTCCCTCGTTGCAGCCATACCATCCGATTCGGATCCCACAATGGGAACGTAGCCATCGTTCCGGATGAACAAATCGAACATACCCTGGTAGTACAGGGCAGGACATATCACAAGAGTTACTCCCGGGTTCCTGTCCAAAGGTGTCAGGACCAGGCCATCAAGCCTTGCTTTGAGGTCCAGTACAGCACCCTTGTCCAGGTAACCACGTTCTTCCAGCACAATCGGCTGCATGCATCTAACCACTTCAGATGCCGTGCAGGATATCACCTGCCCTTTCGCGTTTGCCCACTGACGAAACCCATCGACAATTTCAGAGCACAATCTACTTGTTTGGTCTTGCTGTCGAGCTAAAGGCACGTTATTGGCGTTCAAAGCCAAGTCAGGAATTCCCTCCAGCTCCTGCAGTCTGCAGCGCACTTGCCCTCTTACCCGTGGGTAAGGAAAGCCTGCACAAGAGCAGGTTAACACCTCAGCACGGATGCTGGGCCTCATGCAAATTCTAGAAGGGACCAATACAGTTTCGGGAAGGGCCTGGCCGCAGGGTACTGGAACTGAGCACAGTCAGGCCAGAGTCCGCTCAGCCTCTCCAGTCAGCACAAAAGGCAGGACGGCGCAGCCTCCAGACACATTCGGGCATTGCGCCAATGTGGCAGTGCTACTGGAGCAGTAGCTCAGAAGAGGAAGCTGCGCGGTGGCAGTGAGAGGAAGAAGCGGGTGAGGCAGAGCCCAGCTGCTCTCACCATAGCCAAGTGGTGTTGAAGTAGTGGAGGTCTTTGGAAGGAGGACTGTGAGGAGGACGAGATGAGAGCAGTGTGACGAGGCACATACCTGGTGTGGACGAAGGCAGGCTGTTTAATCAGAGTCTTCAAGGGGCATTCGGCTGATGACACGGGGATCCTGTTGTAGCATGAGCAGGCTAGGTTGATAGCAGCGTCTGTCAGTAGTCTGGGTGGATAGCCGTCAGTAGGGAGCTACATTGCTGTTCAATTGGTGATTGCAGTGTTAGGAGGGCTTTCAGTATGAAGGGACTTCAATGCTTGGCTTGTTCCTATTTGGTGTGATCTCGCTTTGCTTTCTGCTTTCAGTTTCAGCTCAATGATATCTGGTCTTCTGTGAGATGTTGCAATTTGGTTTTACTGCTGTTCATATTGTGATTACAAAAAAAATCGCTAATGCATTAATTAATTTAATTAAGCAATCGATCGATCAATCAATCAATCAATCCATCATTTATGAACATATAGAATATTATAGATGAGTAGTAAGGTCTTTTGCAAGGAATATGAGTGTGAACGATATACAGAAAACCAAGTTGTGAAATCACACAGATGTCTGAGTAGTCGTGTACAAGCAGAGAGCACAATAGCACCGCGAATCCATCCAAATAGAGCAATACAATGAAGTAACGAGCCAATGTTCAAGCCCGTAGGCCACACCAACACAGTATCCAAAGTCGCTCCTCTCTGACTGGCGCCCAGCGCCCCAGGCTACTCTACTCTACTATCCTACCTACAGCTGTGTTCACAGAACAGGCTCACTTCGACTCTCGAAGACCAGTGAACATGATGTCAGCCCCATAGCCGACCTCTCTTCATGCACCAGGTACGTATCTCGTCACCCTCATGAGACCTTGTTACCCCACACTCGCCTCCTTCCTTAAAGACCACCAGACCACCCTCTTCCCCCTGGCGCCCAGCAGCCCGGCTATGGCTGCCTGCGCCCCGCTGCCCTGCAGCGCCCCACTTCACCACTACGCAGCCCGTCAGCGCCCTTGGCCGCAGCACAGCATCAGGCAGTAGCGCAGCAGCACTTCCGCATTGCCTATGCAGGCCAGAATGCCTGGCCTGGGCTGCCTCACTGCTTTTATGGAAGTGGCAGCCTCCTGGATGCTGCGTGTGGCCTGGCTGGAAGCTTCCAGTAGCTTCCGGTTGGGCCTCAGTCCCTGCGCCCAGGCCCGAGACAACAGTTGAGACCTGGGCCCCATTTACAGTTGGCCACGGCCTGAGTCTCCCGACTTGGGCTGTTTGCTGCATCTGTGCAGTGCTCCCAGGTAGGTGTGTCGACAGTACTGCTTTTGCGTAGGCCGATGGCCTGCTTCTCAATGTATTGGCCCTGCTTTGTGTGTATGTGCCCAGGCGCAGCTGTCAAGGCCTGGGCCAACTGTACGACGCAGCTTAGTGAGGCTCGCGCGTCCATTCAACCAACTGGCGTGCTGCAGTAGCCTGAATACCCACATATGAAAGTGTCGAATTTTGGCCTTTGAGGAATATTCAGGCCCGCCTTCACTTAGGGCGGGCACTTGCCTTGCTGGGGGCCTTTGGCCAGAACATGTGATGTCTGATAGGGCCCGTGAGGGCTTGTTCCTCACATTCCATCCCCCTTAGCTTCGAAAGTCCGCCGAGATGCTTCATGCTGGTGCCTTCCCCTTCAGTTTCTTCTCATATTCTGCCACGATCTGAGGAGCTGTCTTGACAAGTTCCTCCCTTGAAATCCATCGATCTTCCTTAGGATCCATATGATGCCTGAAATGCACTCGGTACTCCCTTGCAGGTTTAGGAGGTCTACCCCTGCCGGGTGACTTGGGAACAGACGTGTCTCTCTGGTCCAGGATATCGTCGATGTCCACGTGGCCATCCATGGTTGGGGGCAGCGTAGATCTCCGTGATGGGAACTGTGCTGTCTCAGCGAAAAGTGCAAGCTTGGAGGCGTGAAAAACAGGGTAAGTGCGTAGGTGACCAGGGATACGAATGACGTACGAGGGACCATCCAGATCATTACCCACAATGTCTAAGACCTCCCAGGGACCGAAATACTGAGGCTCTAGAGTCATTTTGCCAGTTCATCGGATTATTGTTGTCCTAATGATCTTGTAAGTTATCGTCCTCATTATCCAGGGAGTTATTTGTCATGATTACTGTTACTATGTTTTTTCAAAAAATGATTGCTTGTTGGGCTTTACTTATCACAGAGATTCACAGGCATCAGTACGATGCATAGTTCTAGGCTTAAATGACATCAGACTTTTCCATCCGGGCGTAGAGGGTGTCAAGTTTATTCATCTCAAGGTTAGTTACCCAAGCATGTGGGCGATTGGTTGGGAATTTTTGAGGATTTTATTTTCAACAGCACTCTCTGTTGTATGTCTGCTCTGTCCCTCTGACCAGCCTCCGAGTGTTTTGAAGCTGTTCTTGTAAGTTTCACGGGCGAACCGAAAGGCCAATAGCATGTTTTATGTATCCCTGCAAGATGAAGACCCAACCATTTCTGGCAGGCCCACCCAGGGCCGACCCACATCGGAAGTTTCAAACATCGTTCCATACTTCGATAATGTTTTCGGAGGGAACACTGCTTGGGAAGACGTAGTAGAGGAGCGAGGGGTTTGAAGTTATTGCCCGTGGTAGAGCTCTGTGACAAGCCTAGAGACTCGTGCATATGATTCAACACATTCATGCTCTGGGGTGGAGTGCTACATGTATGGGCATGTGGAGGACAACCTCTGGGTAAAACTTAAGGGCTCTGATAAAATGTAGGGGTGTTCTTATTTCCAAACATTCAGGGATGATATTTCCATTTGGAAGGATAGCAAAATGGCCACATAGTACACATACCTCAAAGGGCTTTGGGATAATGAGGCAGGTTTATTTTCCAAGTCAGATAGGAATTTCTCTGTGTGGGAAACTGCCGAGCTGCTGACGGCTGATGAGGCCATTTCTCTTTTGCCCCCCACTCCAGTTTCTTGCATAACTTCATAGAACTTGTTTTTCCGGCTGTCTTGCCCAGCTCCTGGGGTTTCTTTCAGCGTTGCCCTCTGGTGAGTGCTTGGCTCCATTAGATCAATCACGTCAATGTATGCTGGTATACGTGACAACGGCTGAGAAACTGGTCTCTCATGATAGTACTCAGAAGGAGCTGGTCCAGAACGCTCAGATGTGGACGTGTCTGCAGTGCTCGTCGCCTGGTGCGTTCTCTCTGGATGTGGATCAATAAGTGCATAACCGAGGACCTCTATCATTGGTTCAGGAGTATCAGAGCTCCAGGGATAGTATTGTCCAAGAAATGAAAGTGTGACCTGCAGTTCGATCAGTCTCACAACAACTGGAATTAGGTGTGAACAACTGAATGTGTAGCAAAACCTCTTTGTTAGTCTTATGAGTAAGGCTTAAGCTATCCAATATCATAAAAGCTTTTCTCCAAGATGTTTGGACAAAGAAAGAAAGAAGTTGTCTGGACTCACCACCCTACCAAAGTTCCAAAAAGAATCTGTCAACCACACCTTACCAAACTCGTACCCTAGCCGATTCTAAAAGCATGTCCCCACCATCTCAAGATAGCCAAACAGGGAGGAATAAAGTTTCCTAGGGAAATGTTGTGGTTGCCATGCGTCTGTGAGGCCATCTTTGGCAGACATGTCAAAGATGAATCACATCCTCATCCCGCCCAGTTCTTAATTTGTCCACCACTTGATCTCAATTTAGTGCATGGAACAAGCCTTAGTGGATGTTCCACATCAAACTCTGGGTAACCCAAAGCAACATTTGATAATAGACGATTTTTCACACCAGCTGGTACCCGCCCATATCCTTGGGAAAAAAAAAAAAAAA